TCGACAGGGAAAAATAAGATTTACTGGCGCTGGCTCGAGTCACTCGATGATTAACAAGAGGATAGGTGATGCAGGTGATGATATCCTTTGCGAATACACCTAATCAATACCTATTATAAGGACATTCATTTGATTTCCCTTGGAAGATGTTTACAAGTTCTTAGATTTCGTTCGATTTTACTCTAAAATGGTTAACAAGAAGTCTTTATCGAAGTTATGATCCACAGTTAATGAGTTACGCATCAAATTTTCCACACAACTGATGTCTTAGTTCATGTCTATACAGTGTAGCAGAATATTGAGAAATCAGAGCTTTGATTTTAGGAACCCACACTCCTTTAATATCGGCATAATTATTTGAATACTTTCTTGCGTCATTAAGCTATTAGCAGGTTGGTAGAAATTTCTATGCGGTTAACGTTTCGGCTCCTTTCTTCTGTGCCGCATTGTTGCATGCCCACTCTCCACTGTTGTTCCTTCTTCCGATGTGGGTGTTCATTGCCGCATCAAGTCCACCTACAACCGCACTGCACAAAAGGGCACTACCAAATGAAGTTCTTCATTCGGGCGGTACTCTACTTCACCCGATTCAGCTCAGGAGTACTGTAGGGACTCATATCGCAAGATCGAACGGCGGTGGACAATCGACTCCAATGATCACCAACTGAGAGGTTCGAATTTAATGAGATTTTTGCCATAAAGTATGAAAATTGATGGTGTCAAGAAAACGTCGTTGCTGAAGGTTGACAAATAGGTAGATGGTATTTTATTCCTAATCTAAAAGGGGCATCATGGAAAACTGAATGAAGCTTCTAATTGAAGAACCTAAACGATATGAATCTGGCAACTTAGATTGGAACTTATTTACTCCGAAAAGATATCTCGTACCAGAACGTGGCATATGAAGAATTCCAGCACATACCAATATTCGATGAAGAACAGCAATCATGGGAGGGCTTTTGCACATCTGAGTTATTAAAAGTATACGAAATCGTCAGGAAAGATTTCAAAATCGTTAAAATGAGGTCAGTGTTATGGTATCTACCGCATTTTGGGAACATTGTTATGATAGTAAAGAACAGTTAGCACATAACTCCAAATGCTCGTCTTCTTTTTACGCGTATCTATGACTTCTCGATAAGTAGAGTAGTTGGAAAACCTTCCCTAGTGCCAAGCAAGCCCCAGATGCTTTCGGATCGGGAAATGGCTACCAAACTCGTCCCGACCAGTGTGTTCCCTGCCTGTGGTGAACATCTTTACATGCCCTACCATGGCTATCACGGAATCCTTGGGCTAATCGACTCGAACAATATTCAACAACATTCATGATGAAGAATGAAGATCATCAAGCAGCAGTCGAATTGTGGATGGTGGATAAGAAACCTGTTGATTGCAAGAAACGCTGGGATAAGCACAATATGCGATCTCGGGTCACATAAAATAGGGCAATAAAATAATGAACGAAGAGTAATTGTGGAGTTGATTTCTCGGTAATGGCATTTAAGAAGATACCTTTCATCGTTTCGACGATATAAATCGTTTCTTAAAAATGTTATTTCCATCTTAAATTAAGTGACAATTCGAATCTACGAATATTAATATTAAAGCGAACTTTATATCCTTAACATTTTTTGATCCAAAGATCGAAGCCATAAAATGAATGGAAAATTGGAAGACATCAGCGTTCTATCTCACCAAACTCCCACAGTTTCATCGCCCTAGTGTTCAAGACAAGCTTCGACGTAGAAAACTAAGGGAAGATGTTTCATGAGCTGTAAAAACGAAAAACTTCAACGTTGTACACTAAGAAAAAGGGTAGAAGTTCTTTCAAGTTCTTGTAACACCAAGTTTCAGCCAAGCGAAACGCATGCTGTCCCACTTTGATAAAGCTCATGACAAGACTGGTCTTCGACTAAATCTCACAAAAACGATGTTCATGAAAAACGGATATCTCCGAATGCTCCATGTACGTCTATCTAGATCAATATGATGAACGATTTAACTCCAGATCTGAGCAGGAGGAAAGTGAACGGCTTGGAAATATTTAAAGAACATCAAGGATATAGCGACGTTTCCTACCGTAATACAAGCGCCGGAAACATGGTCGTAACCCAGACAGCATTCGTAGAAGAAACTGAACGAAAACAGCCAATCATGGAATCTAGAACGCTTCAGCGTACGACTTGAGAGAAAGCCGTGAACAAAGCGATCAATTGGTAAAGCATTTTTGCGTTTACTATAAACAATTGAAGAACTTCCGCTCGGCTGACCACATAAACTCCATCTCAACTGTTCGACTTTAACAAGAAGCATAACAAGATGCGGATAAGAAAAGGGAAGAATATCTTTGTCAATCGTAACGGATCATTTGCCTAAAACTAGCCAAAAAAAGGATGGATCGATTCTCCACATTTCGAGAGCTGAGCAAAAACGGTAGTACAGCATCTTATCCAAAACTAATTTCCTGCTACAACAGTTGCTTCGGAACGGTAACATTTGGTTGTTACCACATTTCCGACTATTAGTACGTGACCATTATCACCAAAGGAGAAAACGTACCTCATTATTTCCATATAAACAGAACCTAGTGTACCATTTTGCTGTATAATCCCATGGATAAATAACAATTTATCAAAATATACCACAGTGCAACAACCCAAACAACTTCGAAATTTCCAAATAACATCGGACATATGTAGTAAACAGCGAGTAAAACTGGGCAATGAAGAATAACCCAGTTGTATAGTATCGTATATTAAACGCAAAACAGAAAAATACCAGTATGTAAACATTAAAAGATGAAAACTCAGTGAGAGACTATGGGCGTATGTGTTGTCAGCTTCATCGCTAGAAAACAGGAACGAGATTTCTATATACAATGAAACCTATGAACAAAATCCTGAAACTTAACGTAAAGAGAAATAAGTAAAACACAACAAAAAGGAAGAAAAACGGCGAAAGAGGTTAGTTTAGAAAAAAATTGCAGACTGGCACAGCCCATCAGTATCGATGAAACTAACATGTGCAGAGGAAACACTAAGAAAATTTGACTCGTTCGTTTAAAAGACGAGGAGGAAAAGCTTCGCATTACCTATACGTAAATAACGGCATTTTTGGTGATGAAAAGTTTGTGACAAAGCTTCAACAATAGAGAAATAAAGTCCTGCCTGTAACACTGTGAAAAATGAAATAATCGCTAATGTTCAACAAGATAACTATTAAAACTTGAAACGTCTAAACGAAATCAAAATGGACAGAGAGCCAATATAATACCCGATCTGGACCATATCAATGGTATTACGACGACCAATAAACACCAAATCTATATCATCTCTCACTGAGAATTCGCACACCCAGCCTAAGCCAAGCACACACGTTCCGCAGATTAGAAGAATCGGTTTACACCCTACTACAAGGAAATGATACCAGTTGCTGTTTGATAAATGCATACGGATAGAAGATAACAGCAGTTCTCAGTGAGCAGCAGATATAGGGAAAGAGGAAGGATACGAATCAACGTGTGAACCTTGTTTAATCCGTCGCTGCCATCGACGCAGAGTTATATTCATCTTTCATAAGATATCCACTATAAATAACGAGAACAAATACCGCTAGCATTACAGTGCCACTGCCTTGGATGCGGAATTAAGCTGATCGTGGATTCGGACCGCATCAGCGAAGCCACGAGGTCGCGAACGATCACCGATGAGGAGCTGGGAAGCTGTAATAGACGTATCTGAAACAAATAATAACTGTGAAGCAGTAAAAAAAAAATGCCTTCTGTTTGCAAAGGAATAAGTGGGTATTTTCTTGCTTCGACAGTTTTTGACCATAACGAAAAGTCCCGTATGCAGTATTTCTTTTAAAGTGAAGAAAACCACCATTTCCACCTTCATACTCTGCGAAGAACCACGTTGGAATCTACAAAAAAATTGATCGATTGCATAAGAAATCTGAGAGACCGGTTGATACGTTGTCGGGACTAAACAGTGAACAAGAAGTTAATGCTATCAATTTTATTTACTGCCTATTCTTTTTTTAATGGGAGGGTATTATGTGAAATACAACGAAAGAAGGGCGAAACGAAGGACTCGCATGGTGTGCTGGTGAACGCGTTAGTCCTCGGAAAGGGTAACAGCGTGTTCGGTCCCTACCACAGACACCTTCGGTCCGGTGTTTTGCAAAAAGTAATGGTTCAAATTTGCTACAATCGCTTCACATATGATTTAGAAAAAACGAACGAATTTCCCTTTACACCCATATGTTATTACTTTAAAACATATTGGGACAACCTGTAGAAAACAAATGAACATGAACATACTTTTCTGAAGATTAATAGCGTCACGAGTCGCGTCTTCGAAGCTCGCTTGATAGGCATCTGAAACGGGTGGCGGTGGAGTAATCGTTCGAGGTGTGCCTGAATAAAGGGAAAGTGCTAGTGAAGTCAAAAATTTTAGAGCCTAGATGTGTTAGCTAGGATCGTAAATGAAAGAAGATGGGTAAAACAAGCCGCGTAAAAAACGCGAAAGTTCCATGGAAGGAGACTACATGGACCAGGTCTGTTCACCAAGATGAAAAATGTTGGGCAGTTCTCTTCATCTCGCTTTAAGAGGTAGGTTAATAGCTTTAACGAATTTTCACTCGTAAGTTTATGTATACCAGCAATATACGTGTTACGAAGTAATGTTGAATACACTTTATTGGAGGTTTTAAAAGCAAGAACTGAAGCAATCAGAGCTTCAATTCATTACATTATGAGGTGTCCTTTAGTTCAGTGGGTCCACACTTGCTTAGTTAGTCACAGCCTCTAACTCTCCCATAACCTCTTTTTCTAACTTTTCAACAAAAAAAACTTGCAGAAGTATGTCCTTCACAATATACGCACAAGAAGCATGTCAATAGGCATTCTTTGAGGTCTCTTCTGTAACATGGTAACAAGAGGTAGTAAAACGCGGCTCAAACCTGACTCCCAACTTTTCCTTCTGTTTACTGACGAAATTTCAAAACTTAACCACGGAACGCCAAAATATTATAAACAAGGCAGCTGAAACCATACCTTGGGCTGATTCAAACAAATTACACGTGGAACCATCTCGCTCAGGTTGAGATAGAACATCTCCACCAGCTAATGAAATAGAAGTGCCTACAGATTGATTATCAGGCAATCGAAGATGCTTCAACTGAAAAAGATATCAATGTGTGACAAGAACCACTTAACAAATATATTTCTTTAGATCGTTCAGCTTTTTCTACAAAAAAAGCCACCCAAAGATTTGGGAAAACGACACTAACCCGAACATGTCCATCTTTCACACCATCCTTGTCAGGAACATATAACACAGTTGTTTCGTCGACTTCATCCATATCCTAGAAATCATTGAAACAAATTGTAATATGTGAAGAGGAATGTTGCAAAAATAAAGGCAAACAAGCCATAAAAAGGGTAAACAACAAGTATTGGGACACGATGAAAAGGTACCTGTTTCTTACCAGCCCCATTGACTTTTATCACTTCTACTGCAGACCGATTCTTTCGATTTCGTTTAGTGACAGTTTCTTCCCCTTTTGTGAACCTAGAGATAACCATCGAAAAACAAATATGTAACTCGAAGAGAATTCAAAAACCATGTATAAAAAAACTCCCAACGGTTTACAGTCCCATCGTGGCTGAGAAGTGTTCCCGGGTGTCCGTCTGCGGTGTACGGCGATTGGATTCGTCCTTCCAGCAAGGTCTCCCAAGCTGAGGAGTCCGGCGTATCCATCATGAAGCCCAGCTAAGAGTAAACCAATACCAGAACCCACCACCGTCCTGCCTCTGATCTACAAAGGCGGCGACTGCCTGTGGTGGTGACGACCTGGAGCAGACTCTGGCCGGACTGAGCTCGGGACTCTAGGGAGTCACAGTGGCTAGACCAGTATAACTCCGAAAAAAGTGGAGGTTGCCCTGAGACCCACACAACTGGCGAGGACGGGCCCTCCAAGTATCCAAATATATAAAAGTATGGCATATACTGATAATTTAGGATCACTAAGAAAAACATACGACGGAAACTGGCTTCCACACAAGGTTCGCTTTATATTTCCGAGACATCCGATAGTGAACGGATTGTAGCCCGATTGGAACTTTCCAGTTACCTAGAATCAAGAAATGGACGGTCAACATTGACAACTAGAAACCATAACTGTAAAGAGTTCATAACTAATGATTGAGTGTGCCTTGTGTTTTAGGTTCGATAGCCTCTTTCTTCAACCTATCGAAAAACCTTTAAAGTCATAATACAAGTAACAGAGTAGCACCTCTTCCAGCGACTTGTTCATGTTATGCAAAATCCCGTGGCACTTTTACTTTACTGCGGAAACAAAAACTTCTCAATGGAGAGAGAGAAACCTGTTCATTTGTTGTTCTTCCGCGAGAAACGAGAACAATATGAAAAACTGTGAGGCCAACCACTGGTACAGATAATATAGCACACAACGCTAGGAGAACGATAGAGCAGAGGTTCGGCCTGCTCAGAATATCTTCTCTGGAAAAATCCATGTTGTCAATATCGATATATTCAAAAAATTTGCCTTGTGACTAGGGGAAAAGAGCTAGTGACAATCTGCATATGAATTTGTTGCCCTTTACTAGCTTAGAAAAAAACTTATATTTATTTCACTAGGAAGTAAAGCAATGAGTAACCTAAACACTCTTAAATGAAACAAAAAATACCCAAAATACTTAAACCCAAATGAGTCTCCAAAAAGTACTGAATAGATAAGAATCCTTCTTATACTTATAGAAATGAGAAAAATAGCCAAGGAGAAGGTTAAAGTCATGAATTCTATTAATATCTTACACTCTTTAAAAAGCTTCAGCACATTTATAACAGAAACTTGTAGAAAAAAGGGCTTGTTCTAAAACCTTGATACCAATATTGCAACCAATCCATTATGTAACTTATTCATTCGTTGTAAAAGAAAGTTTAAAAAAGGCGAACCTATGTGCTAGTGTGTACGCTAGGCAGACAGACGCCACGTAAGCCATATGTAGACTAAGAAAGCATAGAAAGAAGAAGAAATATCTAAATATCATTTTATTCCAAAAACGAAAAAAATTCTCATGGATTTTAATGCCCAGAATTAAGTTCCCACCTGTAGTTTCGTCGTCCCACACAATTATGGACCCAGGGACAATGGTGATCGAATGTGTCTATACATCTAAAAAAAACCTAACAAATATATTTATGAAACTAACTTCTTCACATTATTGAGATGATATAAGGTTGGCATAAAAGTTTTATTCGGCAATGTTTTAACGCCTTTGCCTTCTTCATAGTCGCGTTAATCAGAAATCATGGTCCAAAGCTCGTCGTTTTCACACCGAGTCGAATTCAGGGGAGTGAGAGCACTGCTCAGGTGAACTCATTCGGCGGTTCCCATTTACACAGGAGGGATGTAGACCGATTCTCGCCATGCAATCCAAAAACTTCTATACTGACCTCATGTCAGCTCAGTCATGTAAAAACTTATTGATTATTGTTAACGAGGTCTAATAAAAGTCAGTTTTAAGATATTTGTGACAGTTCAAGTAACGATCTTGTTCGTATCAGAGATCTCGAGTCGGTTGCTCTCGAGTCTTCAACTGGCCAATAAAGATTAAATGTGAACATAAAGCAACTGTACGTTTCGCCTGGGGCAGAGGTTGATCCAAAAATGGGTCCACTATATTCCCTGTGTCGAAATGACTTGTACAGCCAATCATAGAGTATAATATGAAATGTACGACCTTAATCGGCTTCAAGCAAGAATGACGCACTGAGAATGACTCTCCCGTACGATGGTACTGAGGAGAAATCCTTCTAGAGTCCACGTGAGTTACTTGACTAAGACCACTGAGTATACGGCTCTTATTGAGTAAAAAGCTTTACCCTCTGCAGGTTTCCGGCTAAATACACTAGCAAGACAATGTTAATTATTTATATTGCTCATCTTCGTATTTTGAGCGGATCCTAGCAATTCTTGACATTGCCTTCTATGCACCCACGAAAGTATTCATATTTGCATCAAGGTTTGGTTGTTCCTAAGGGTCTTTTCCATCTACTTCGTTCGACAATGGTCGACATGATTCTCCTGAAATCTTGGAAAAGCTCCGCTAGAGCGCTCCCAAGTCATACCTTGGAGCATAACAGAGCTGATCAAAGGTTGATGCTCCAGAGAAATTTTAAAGAAGTCAGCCCCAGAGGACACGAAATCTCGTTTAGTGTGACCTTGATTTTATTTTTCTTCAACCAGAGACCATGTTTTATTACTATACGACATCTCTAGCCACAACACTTCCCGTGTGCCACGTGTCGGATAAACGTGACAAAATACAGTCTGTAAATGTGAGCGTATCAACGCAAATACACCTGAATATTACTCGCATAGAGAAAGCATGCGCGTGTAGCGCAGTGCTTGGAACCACCCTGCAATTCACATAGAATCGATCCACACGCATCAGGCCCATCAAGCCGTCCATTCCTCTTGGTTCTGCAAATTGGCACCAGACTTGTCCAGGAGGACAGCAGCACTGGATCGGTACATAGACAGGCCACCGTGAGTCATTGTAAAAGACAGATATGCATGGCGCATCCCTCACAGATAGATCGATGCTGAGAGTTTCTTTTTTGTAAAGTATACGTTAGGAGAACACAGCAGAAACCAACAGCCCATCCTCATTCCCATCTAAAGAAGTACGAGGTCGTCTTCGGTTTAATCCTTAACGACTGCCTGAGGGTGCACCACGTAAACAAGCAGACTAAGCTGCACGAGATCACCCGTATCCGGAATATCTGTGTACAACATGCTATTAGGCAAAATTGTAACAATGACCTTACCTATTACAAACCGAACAGTGACTCGATCGAGGAGGTCGGTAGAATTGACATGTCACACACCATTTCATACGAACCGTAATGCCATTAATCTCAATATTTCTATACAAAGGCGACCGAAAGTCATCAGTCGTCATTTCTTCAGACGCATATCCTAAGAAAAAAGATTCCCCTTTGTGGCTCACACTCACTTCCGTGAATAAGTGGTTTTACCGTATGGATGGATTCCCGGATCCATGCACATCGCCATAATAAAATTCGAAATCAACATTAAAAAAATGAGGAGATCGACGCCACATAATGCCCAACCATACCTTTAATATAAAATACGTGCACTTCAAAACTTTACAAAAAGAATAGATAGTAATTTATAGATAGAAAACCAGCTGAGAGACAGGCGAAATGAAGGACCCGCATGGTGTGGTGGTGTACGCATTAGCCCCCGAAAGGATAACAGCGTATTCGATCCCCACCGCAGACACCTGTGGTCCAAAGCTTTGCAAAAATCTCATCATTATGGTTGTATGCGCACTTCAATGAAATTCAACAGCTTTCCTTAAAGGGCTTAAAATTACTACCGTAGATTGAATAGATCCAGAAAAAGGGATGTATAACCTTACGACATCAACATACTTAGATGATGACCATGAACTCATGAAAAAGAAAGAAAAAAAATGATTGCGATAAGCTGATTCGACTAACCAGCCCCAGCGTACACCGACGGCCGGAGCTAGGAAGTAGTAGAAGCAAAGCGTACAGATGACGATTAACGACCAGGCCATCGCTGAAGGCAATAACTGGCCAAGTCGCTTACACATCCTGAAAGCTGAATGGAATCCAGAACCTAAGAGTTAGCAAAACTTTAAACAGGAAAGAATAGACTCCAATAAGAACAAGTGAATATTAAGATATAATAAAGTTGAAAAACAGTACAGGTTTTTTTTTCAACAAACCTCTGTTTTCAACGAACAATTCGAAGACAAGCCAGTGTGAAGTTCGTCAGCTGATCACCAATCCAAAATCGAAGTTGAACTGGAAATATTCGATGCACCTCTTGTGAAACATAAAGAACACTGCCGTACCCTTCTTCTAACAAAATGGTTAACAAGCACAAGGTTTATAAGCAGAAAGTCCTTAAGATACTGGAGGATTTTTACTATGAATAGAAGATCAACCAGCGCTTTATAACGAATTCAGAACTAATGATATTGCTTAAACTGCTAGCAATTTGAACCAAATGGTATATTATACCATCCTCAAGCGGCCAGTTGATTGATCGAAGGAATCGGTCTGTATAGGAAGAACCACGAAGGCCAGAGTGACTGCCTGTGCTGACGACACAGGATCGTAAGAAAACGTCTATCTCAAGACTTCAGAGAAAACTATGCTCCAGTAGGAATGAACAAATCGGTGAACAAAGAAAAGCACAGAACCTGGGAAACTCAGACGATGTGAACTCGAGAATCTGCATAAATAACCACTTAGAGACAATAAAACGAAAGGAAGAGATGTTTGCACTTGTTCTAAGCCTGACATATTGGAGGAAGTCTACAACAATCAGCGATTAACAAGAGTTACGAACTTCAGAAGCCTAAAAAGGTTACTCAGGTCTTCTAAGAAAAGAGCTTGAAACCCAGTAAGTTGGAAAAAAAAATCTAACTGACGATATTTGGATGAAGAAGATTGTGAGAATTTTTTGCTTCCTTGGAAAGAATACTAATGACGGGAACACGTTATATAGCCACTAAATCGGAACAAGGAAATATTAGTAGGAGTTTTAAGACGTGCCCACCACCCAAGAATCTAATTAGCTCGAGAAACTAGCTCCTCTGGTGGATAGACCTCAGCCGTAGTCGCCGCATCACGAGAACTCAAGTGAGCAGAGGAAGCCTCAAAACACAATAGCAACAGACCAGTGAATTATACCAAATAAGGAGAGAACTCTCAGCGTTGATCAATCCCTGAGGGATGCGCAATACGTTCGACTTCACTAAGCATTGTTGGAGGTGACTGAATGCATATCTGGTCTTTACAATGACCCGCAGTGGCCTACCGATGTACCGAGCCAGTGCGGCTATCCTCCCAGACAAGTCTGGTGCCAATTTGACAAACGCGGAAGGATGGAGGGCTTGGTGGGCCAGGGGCTTGGAGATCGATCCCATGCGTATTTCAGGACGTCTCCGACCACTGCGCTAACTGTGCGCAATGAATTATAGTAGACAAAAGGTAGTCAAGAGCTGAAACGGTATTTTGTCCTGTAGGAGTTGTTTATAAGGAACTCTACATGGGAAATGAGAATTGGGGAGGCTTCCCTCACTTCATAACGACAAATCGCACTTACTCCGGTAAAAAAAAATAAGTAGTCGAGATAACGTGAAGTTCAGCCCATCACTCTCAGAAAAAAAATCTTATTCGACTTCATTCCATGTTCAAAATAAATTATTAGACGGAAAAATAAATCCGCTTCATTTAATCCTACAAACCTTCTTATAAACTATCAACGAGAAAATGTCCCACTAAACTAAACAACGAAAGTAATTTAGATTACAATGAGAAGAGGTAAATGTTAAAATGCCCATTTTTTTGGTCTGATTTCTAGGAACTTAACTCATCACCATGCCGCCTTTAGTTCTTGGTCTTGCGTTCTTCTACAAGTACAAGTCTCTGGGTATTTGGAAAAGGTCGCTAACATAGTTCAAATGCGTTTTCGATTTCCTGGAACAATCGGGCGGTATCCTAATCGGAATGGATGACCCTATCAAAGGTTAAACTTCTGCTGTTTTACTGTAACCCAACAAACAGTACCGTTCTACAACAACTGTGAATTGGTAGATTTTCGACAAAGTACGTTAGTTGACATGAAAATTATCCTATTACATAAATTTCAAGATTGACAAAAACAGGAAGAAGGCTATATAGGCCTAGTCGACTGTTTTAGCGTTAACAAAGCGTACATGTACCCTAGAAACCCTAATTTGTCGTTAACCTCAACTACTACCGAAATCTGACTTCTTGGAGGATCACCAATGCAATCAGAATGTGATTTATTGAAGTTGTAGAAATCTGAGTGTATAACTTTTTAGTGAAGTTATAGAACTATCTGATCGAATAGGTTAAATGTTAACGCGGTTCGTTCAAACTGAAGTCGAAATCCAAAGACCAAGAAAACTGAAGAAGCGTGGTCCGGTGAAACGGCTAGAGGAGTGAAATAGGGACCATTAATGCTGGCACTGTTGAAGGATTGAAATCAAAATCTATCCATAACTCTTTCGTAAACAGTTATGCAACCAGAATTTCGCCGTCACGACAGTGAATGCTCTGGACAAAGTTTCTGGATACAACAGTAGGAATCTTTCCTAATTTGAAAACAATCATCGTCGTAAGCATGATCATACAGCTTGCTTTAAACAATAAACTTACCCCAGGGAATCACTGTCTCAATGGCAGAAACCAAGTTGTAGGACTTATGTGCTATCAATCCATCACAAGCATCTACGGTGGCAAACACGGTTATCTCAGAACTTCGGAAAAAAAAGAAAACTGCAAGACACTAACCCAGTGGAAACTGTGTTGCAGTTATCACGATTAGCGAAGACGGGATAACGAAATGGCTTTCAACAGTAATAAAAGGTTAAGAACGGAAAGTAATTTTGTATAGCACTCGCGCTCTATATGACATTAGAGATCTATTGTACGCATTGGTACAACTTCATAGGTGACGATGAACATCAAAGTAGAACCTTAGAAGGCGTATTAGCACGCATCAGCAATATTCAGCTGTGTTTATAATAAATTGGAAGCTCATTTAATACATTGTATACTGCTTGTGTAGAAAACCAAATGAAAGGACAGACTTTCGTTTAGAGAACATCAGTACAATGAGCAGTGCTCACACTACTTGCTCTCCGTCCTGTGCATTCTTTGTACGCAAAATTGCGTTGAGGAACGGATTACGACCTAATTATTCGTGCGTCGATAAAGAGTGCAGTGGTTTTTCTGGATTCTCAAAGTGAGTCATTTTTCGGTAATTACTGTGAGGCAGGGACATTTGCATAACGTGGACTTTAGGCCAAATTGGAACCTGCGACTACCTGTTCCGAGCACATATGTTACCCACTGCACCACTCAGCCCCTTGCTTTTGCCTTTCTCTTAGCAAGTTTTCTACCTAACAGTGCCATCGGCAAGAACACAAGATAGAACATTGCCCGGGAGAAAAGCAAAGCAAGGGGCTCAGTGGTGCAGTGGGTAACACGTGAGTCCCCGGAAAGTGTAATCGCGGTTCGATTTGGCCTGTGGTCCAAGTTTTGCAAACATCTCAGCCCTACAGTGGTTTTATTTCACATCATACCCTACCGTGAAAAATACTGATAGGCAGTAAACAAAAAGCAAATGTTTTACTGTACTTGAGGGAATCTGTTTGCTACTGAAGACAGAAGTGAACCAATCCATACAGAACACTTTGGACTGGTCAAGTTTTTGCTTACAAACCAGGTAAATTATTAAGCATATGTATAGATCCCATTCGTTTTAATATTGGGTTTCTGAACATAGAAATTCACACAGTATTCTTCGTTTCTAAACACAATAGGGGAACATATGGCGCAGTAATCGAAGGCGCTTTGCAACACACACGCGATTGATCCCGAGCACCAAGCTCACTAAGCCCTCCATCCCTCCGGGGTCGGCAAATTAGTACCAGACTTGTCTGGGAGGATAGCAGCACTGGCTCGATATATCGTTAGGTCACCGCGAGTCATTGCATGGGTCAAATCTACATTTAATTACCTCTAACGATCCTTAATGAAGTCAAATGCATAGGGCATACCTCAGGGATCGATCAAGGCCGAGACCTTTACCCTTTTTATTCTTTCTAATCACATATGATTAAGTTGGTATCTGCTTGTTTACAGCTTCGCCTTCTGGATATCTGACTATTGCATAAAGCCATTCATCTGGGTAGAAGCAAAAATAGTACAATTCTGATGACGGGGTCTGCTTATGTCGAATTAGTAGGTAGTCACATTGTGATCTGGTACCCTTGAACTGGGATATTACTTTATCGATCGATAACCTACTTGGATAGTTGGACCACCTTCTACAATCCTCGATGCTTGGACGGCTCGTCCTCATTGGTTGTGCTGACCTCAGCATATTCTCCATTTTTTTTTGAGTTCAACTAGTTTAGGCATTGTGGTTCCGTGCAGTTTCGAGGTCATCCTAGCCAAAGTCTGCCAGTGATCGTCACTACCACAGGCAGTTGCCGCCCTCGTGGATCAGGGGATTTGCGGATTTGCCACCATGCAGCTAATTTGATACCAGAATGGTGCTGGATCCTGGCATCGGTTTATTCTCAGCTATGCTTCCTGATGGAAACGCCAGGCTCCTTCTGTCTAGGAGATCTTGCCGGAAGGACGAATCCTCCCGCCGTACATAGCAGCCTGATATCCCAGGACACTCCTTAGCCACGATGAGGCGGTAAACCGCTGAGAGACGATTGATAACAAAAGTGCAAAATATTATTATTTGTCAATTAAAACACTATACTTAATGAAGTTAAAGTTTTCATTTCCTGCAACATCTTTGCAAACATTTGAACCTAAATGGGCAATTTCTAGCATTAGGAGTAGGGAGGTGACTGAGAGATGAAGAATAAGGATAAAGACAACTGAACTATTTAGAAACAACAACTTGGTGAAATAATGGTATCATTCCTAGAAAATAACAAGTGTTCAGCAAGGAAATAACGGAAAACAAACATGCCGATTAATTAAGAAGTACAACACCGGAAATCGGAAGAGTCAAAACTTTCCTCTTCAGGATCGTCCCAAAAATGTCGATAATAAGGAATTGGATGAGTAAACATTTCAGGAGGATAAACAACTTCAGTAAGGAATAGTCCATTGGGCGGCGCGATGGGTATTCGAATGTCGTAGAAGTTCGAACTGATTGGATTCTGAAGAAGCCAAAGAATTCTCTCTATCGGAAGTCTGTCATAGCTGTGGAACACCAGACAGGAGATCATGCGCCGAATCTGAACGGATTGCTACTTTGTGACATTTGCCAGAACTTGTTAAGTTGTTCACTCAAACGAATTTATCCTTAACATGACACGGATTAGCTTGCTACCAACACAATTACATAAGGGATAAAGGACAGAGCTCCCGGAGTTGATCAATTTCTGAGGGATCCGCCATGCATTCAACTTCATTGAGCATGGTTGGAGGTGATTGAATGCATACGTGGCTTCTACAGTGACTTGCCTGCTATCTAAGCAGACAAGTCTGGAACCAATTTGCCGACCTCGGAGGGATGGACGGCTTGGTGGGCATGCGACGCGAGGATCGAGACAAATTCATTTATGACAGAGACCATTCCTAAGAATGAATCAGAAAATTACGCTCAGAGAAGATGATTAGTGCAGTGGTCTTGTGACGAAACTGGTAAGTGAAAACTTCATCAGAAATTTACGATAGTTAGTGATTGAACTGCTGGATCAACTTAATGGGTCACTTGGTCACCCCTACCTCAACAACTGTGATGACTTCAGTACAGTTACGGCTAGAGTGATGTGTTGCAGTTTTTTTTTTTGAAAGTTCTCAGATAACCGTGGTCGCCATCATAGGTGTTAGCGATGGACCGATGGCACATAACATGAGTCATGTAACTAGGTTTCTGCCATTACGATAGTAATTTCTCCAGGACAAGTTTTTAGATTCAAAAGTCAGAATCCTTAGTTTGAGTTACACTGCTTGGGTAATAGCCACGGTTGTATATCGATATAATTAATCGAGAGAATCTAGTGAAAATAAGTTCATTTGTTTCTGTACACATGTATTTTTCAAGACCCATCCGTCTATGGTCTACATTAAGATCACCTGTTCTCGGACGAACGATCTCGATATGATGGTTACGTTGTAGTAATCATAAATATCATTGTTGACCGAATAGGCTTCTCCTGAATGAGAAATGTGAACAACCAATTCCAATTGATGTTTTTTCTGGAAATGATGCGCTCACCTTTGGAAAGTTGGCAGTGAAGAATAGTTCTAACCACACTACGTGGATACGTTTCCCTTCTTTTATCACGAGCTGTGTGTTTGTAGAATGAACCCATTACATGAGGGCCTAGAATCGGCACAGAATCAATGCGTTAGCAGTGCTCTGGTCTTAGTAGCAGTAGAAGTACAACGTATTGATTTCCGATTAAGAAAACATACCTCTAAAAAGCTCACAGACATCCGATGCTTTCTCTGGTGAAAAGCCTGGAGGTAACCGCCAACTATAATTTCTCTCAGAAAAACAAACAGTAGAGGGAGATTCCTTCAATGACTCCCAGAGTTCCCAATTTCGACAAACAGCAAGACGGTATGTGTATCTCCTAGAAATAATTGTGAAATTCTTAGAGGACTTGCACATTTGTTTACAATCTCATGGAAATCAGATGTGGTTGTCCACTTGTGATGTTCATTTGGAGATCTGTCTCTCCTACAGAACAAAAAAAAAAAACAGAAAATGGTGACTCCTATCCCATCAACTTATTATAGTTCTAGTCACGAAATGGCAAATCATTAATACACAATGGATGGCGAGTGTTTGCAGTGAAGGACAATATCTACCTGGACCATCTTTACCAACAATACCTTGTGTTCCCTTTTGTACCACATATGACTTCAAACTAAATGACTGATAAGTGGCGAACTCGTCTTGAGCTCATCGTGTGCATAAGAGCATATTTTCAAAAGGGAAAAACTGCAGACGAACAGAAAACGCATGACCATCCCAACAAACAAGAGGCAGACATGGACATGTTCGTAAATATCGTACTGCCTGTTCGTAAACGGTATAGTGAGAATTTTCATAAAATCTCCCGTATATAGCTATTTTCTTGATTGAGAGGCGGAATCGCATTGCATTAGAACTTTGGTCAACTACCAGTGCAAGTGAACAATGAAGATGCAGACATCTTATTGCTGCTTAACTATTCCTGCAGAAAAAGGGTTCCGACAAAGTGACGCCATTCTGATGAAGTTGTTCCGGGCAGCGATGCAGTGAGTAACGAAAGTGATCGACTCGCTATGCTGTATTGGGAAATTCCTGTCGAATCGTTTAGATTATGAGTTTGTCATCTGTTCCGGAAGTACCAGCGAAGCTAAGACTGTGCTCAAAAACTAGACTCGGCGAAACGTGGAAAAAGAGAAATTTCAAATAAATGTCGCTTACGATGCTGATATGTTTGATGACACCTTAATCAAGTTAAGGATTCTGCATGCCATTCATAAAGCGCCACTAGTGACTTGTCCTCATTGAATGATATTGCACTACATGTTTTGGAAAATATAACCAGGAATATAGGACGTCAAGCCCGTCTGTTCCTGACCCATATCACGATAATCTTCGTCGTATGCATGGGTAGGGTGGTGATGTTGAATTAAAGATCTTGACAGCTTTCACTCACAATAACATCTGAGTGACGTTCATCATCCATACGCTCAGCTTAACATTAGCTCTTGAAATCGTTCCCAGGATCGACTTTCTCTTAACCTCGGCATATGTGTCGTTTTCTTGTTCAGCAATCGCGAGGTTTTTAAACAGCATACATTTACTTCCATAAAAACACAATACAATACAACGCTAGCTGACGTTTCGGCAGTATCGCCTTCTTCAGAGCCGCTTTTTCGTGACTTCCAATGAGGAAGCTTAGAACAGCTGATTATAGTCGCATGTGGTTGACGACTCAACTTCCTTCCTGTTCTAAACTTCCTCATTGGAAGTCACGAAAAAGCGGCTCTGAAGAAGGCGATACTGCCGAAACGTCAGCTAGCGTTGTATTGTATTGTGTTTTTATGGAAGTAAATGTATACTGTTTAAAAACCTCGCGATTGCTGAACAAGAAAACGACACATTAGCTCTTGAATAAAAAATAGTGCTCCCAACGGTTTACCACTTCACCTGTACAACCAGTGAAAATGAGCCATCCATGCATAAAAATTAATACTCGTACACATCATCATGTAAAAATCAGTCCAATTCTGTGAACAACTGTTCTGAGGAACCGAAACGATTGCATTATTTATGTACCCACATAAGCTGCCCATTATCGCATGTCGTGAGAGCGCCAACACTTCTTTTATTCATTTCCTTGCCTTCTAGCAGTCATCCGTGCAAGTTGTCGAATTCACATCATTTGGATTCGGCTACGATTGCAGCACTCGTCATTATGCGTAGCTTCCATAGCAATTACAAGATATCTGTGCTACGGCATGCCTTCACCACTACTATTCGCTTGCTCCTGTTGTTCCGAGAGCGGCTTGTCGAATTCTGACTAGGACTATTCCAGAAATATAGTAATTTCCTGAATTCGAACGACCTATTCAAGTCGATGTAACGGCGCCAAGGCTATGCTGTCCTCTCAAAATCAACAATGGAGTGCCACGTAGGATTCTACTTCTGTTCGTGGGAAGATGCTTGCTTTTTGAACTTGCATTTACGAAATGAAAGGAAAAGTTCAGATTATAATTTTAACAGAGAACGTGTATAGCGTAATGGTCGGTAGCGCCCTGCAATGAACAAGGGATCGACTCCCCCACCCAAAGCTCATCAAGCCTTCCATCTCACCGGAGTCAGCAAATTGAAACCAGACTTGTCTGGGAGGATAACAGCACTGGCTTGATACATCGACAGGCCATTGGGAACCATTGTAAAAGCCAGACATGCACTCAATAACCTCCAACGATGCTTAATGAAGTCCAATGCATGGCGTATCCCTCATAGATTAATCAACGCCGGGAGCTTTACCCTTTATCCTTCACACTTTTAACCATCAAACAGATGAAAACATTATTTTTCTTCATTCTTAAGAATGTGAGCAATCAATGCTTGAATGAAAACAGGCAGCAATAAATAGTAAGTTTGGTACGGATATATGGAAAGTTCTGCATCAGTACAAAAGGCACCTAGTCTCAACACGACACATATGGAAGGCAATGGAAAGCGGTGGCGTCATAGAAGTCCTTCAAACATGATACTCTCGTTACCTTTGATCTCCCTTTACCAGTAACAGTCTCAGTGGCCCGACCAAAAAAAAGTACAAAAAACAATTTCTTGTAGAATTAGATATACAGAAAAGCTTTTTTGATCCACACCTTATACAAAAGCTTGTGCTGGATAAAATTATAGGTACAAAAATTGCAACAAAAAACTGCGAAAAATTAGTAACTGGAAAAAACAACTGATAAACAAGTGGAAAAAAATAAGTGGATATCAAATCACGCCGCCCAACCCCAATGCCATCTGAGAAGAAATCAACTATCGTCGTATCTGTTTGTGAAAAAAATATTTTTGCTGATGTTTATAGCATTTCCTCATTGCAATAGGAAGATGGGAAGCAATTCTAACTCACCTATAGGAAACATGTCTTCGGACACAAAAACCAGGTGAAACCCTGTGGAGATCCAACACCTTCATGGCTCCTGAATATTTTCAAATGAATTGTCCTGATTAGAATGAAAATAAAACTAAAACCGTATGTAATCAACCTGGAGAGAACTCATTGATAGCGCTGTTCCAGTTCGTCAGATATAAGGCTTTATTTTCAGAAGGAGAATCCAGCGACACGATCTCCGTAGGAATTTGACAAATTAGCGCGTTTCGGAGTGCATGAACGCCTGCATCTGTTCTGTACACAGTTTTAGAACTAAAAGTTACGAGCTGGCTTGTTTAAAAACACTAGATACTACCACAACGTTGCTGAGATATTTGCAAAACTCTGGACCGCAGGTGTCTATGGTGGGGAACGAACGCGCTATTATCCTTTCCGGGGAGTAACGCGTTCACCACCACACCATGCGGGTCCTTTGTTTCGCACGTCTCTCAGCTATTTCTATCGATCTTTTTGCCACAGCAATCACCCGTCAGCGGGGTTGATCTGGGGAGCGCAAATCGGCATAGAACCCAGTTAAGCTAAATTATAGAAGGCAGAAAACAAAACGTTAAACATTGTGATTTCAACTACAGCCATAGCTTAACTGGGTTCTATGCCGATTTGCGCTCCCCAGATCAACCCCGCTGACGGGTGATTGCTGTGGCAAAAAGATCGATAGAAATAGCTGAGAGACCTGCGAAACAAAGGACCCGCATGGTGTGGTGGTGAACGCGTTACTCCCCGGAAAGGATAATAGCGCGTTCGTTCCCCACCATAGACACCTGCGGTCCAGAGTTTTGCAAATATCTCAGCAACGTTGTGGTTGTATTTCGCTTAGTAACCTGCCATGAAAATTATAGAAGGCAGAAAACAAAACGTTAAACACTAGATACTTTCTAGGATATAAGGCAACAGTTGATAATTTACCCACAAACATTACTTTGAGCACAATAGAGAAATTTAGGAACATACCCACAATAGTGCTGAAATATCTGCAAAACTCCAGACCACAGGTGTCTGCGGAGGGGATCGAACCAGATATTACCCTCTCTGAGGGCTGACGCATTCATCACTACAACATGCGGGTCCTTCGTTTCGCCTTTCTCACAGACGTGTTTTAACCCACAGATGCTTTCGGCAATTAGCCGTCAACGGGATTGGTCTGGGGAGCACAAATCGGCATTGAACCCAGATAAGCTTAAGCTGTAAGACAAATCACATTGTATTCACCTTTTTTATTTATTGTCCATTCTTTTTATGGCATGGTATGATGTTAAATATACCCACAATGATGCTAAGATATTTGCAATACACAGGCATATAGAATAGGCAGTAGTTAGAAAAGTGACTACATAGTGATCTACCTACAGCTTCAGCTTAAGTGAGTTAAACGATGATTTGCATTCAGCTTCCTAATCCCGTTAACAGGTGATTGCTGATTGCACCTATAAGCAAGGCCGAAAGAAAGGCAAAACGAAAGACTTGCATGGTGTAGTAGTGAACGCGTTAGCTCCCGGAAAGAGTAGCAGTATATTCGATCTCCAACACAGACACAAACAGTCTGTAGTTTTCCTGATATCTTAGCATCATTGTAGTTACATTTCACATCATACCCTGCCATAAAAAGAATAGGCAGTAAATAAAAAAGTGATTATGTATATGTAGCAGCTTACTTGTAGATCTATCATATAGTGCAGTACCGTAATATTAAGACATACCGACTGCTAGGCGACAACTTGAACAACTCTTTGTCAGCATACACATTAGGTCTTCTGCCAAATAAGGAGTCGGTAATTGTCTGTAAAAAAGGCTTGGATGAGCGTGGTAACGGTCCGATTTACGTTTTACTCAACGGCTGAGAAAGTGAATATTTATACACTTTCTCATATACAATAATGTTGCCGTAAATGCTACTAGTCCTCATTTTAGCTCTACATTTCATTGTGATCACTTCGATCCGTAGAGATGAAATTACAACATGAAAGGTAAAGCAAGTAAAAAAGGACAAATCTTTCATCGTTAATCAATCCCTAAGGGATGCGCCATGCATTCGACCTTATCAAGCATCGGTGTAGGTGATTGAATGCATATCTGGCCTTTACAATGACATGCGGTGGCTTCCCGATGTATCGAGACAGCGCTGTTATGCTCCCAGACAAGTCTGGTACCAATTTGCAGACCCCTGAGAGATTGAAGGCTTGGCGGGCCTGTGGCGAGGGGGTCGATCCTATCTGTATTGCATGGCACCTCTCATCATCGCGCTACATGCGCCATGCTAAAGCTAGTACCCAACTTAATGTTAACCAAGACATTGCGATCAATCATATAATAAAATGATAACTTGCCTGATACAGCATATCCACCACACCAAGCCCAGTTCCACCAGCTGCCATCTCAGGGAATCGAGATCCATCGTAACTGAAACTCATGAAATGAAACAATTTGTTGAGAATACTCCTATTTAAGTAGTCTCTCTAAGTGAACAAACCTAATCCACAGCAGATATCTCTGAATCCCCACGCTTTTTAACATTTGAGATCGACCAACACACACCTAGGATAGGATAACGAATAAAACAAATTGCAACCTCCACCCGAACCGTATCAAACCGGTACCGCAAAGCCAAGCACATTACAGTGTTTCTCAGGAAGCAAATTTATGCACGAGATTAGAAAGCACATCAAAGGAAATTGAAAGACTACAACTATTAGAAACAGCCTACAGAGTGTAGCATCCGCTGTCCATAAGAATGCCCCAATCATTTGATCATTTGAATATCCGTTCAGTACAAACGTTGTCCACTTAGGTGTGAACTCTCATGCGTAGCGACTCCAATAACACTTGCTATACTTACAACTTCAGAGTAAAATATACGACACGCAAACAATTCACTTTGGAAACTACTAGGAGTTCATATTTATTTATCGAACAAAACGATACAACTACCGGACGGAAAACACAAAAACATCAACTGTACAAAAACATTAAGCAACATATTGATAAACGTTTGGATCATCGTCGCACCTTCGCAAATAATCCCTTTCCATGAGCGATGCTATACGCTTCTTTAGATCGGTAGCTCGAACCGGGAATCTGAAATTAATATAAACAATGCCCTGACGAACCTTCCAAATTCCAGTAGATGGTGAAGAAGACCTCCGCGCGGTCTCCTGCCTCATCGTGGCTGGGAGGTGTTCCTGAACGTAGGGCTGCAATGTACACCAGGGGAAGTTCATCCCACCAACAGAGCCTTCCAAGCTGAGGAGTCCTGCGCTTCCACCAAAAAACCTAGCTAAGAGTAATACCAAGATACATCACCGTCCTGATATCAAACTAGTTGCATGGTAGTAAATCTCCCTCTGATCCACAACGACGACAATTGCATGTGATGGTGAAGAGTTGGGGAAGAATTTGGGTAGGCTGACCTCAGGACTTCAAGAGAGCACAATGGATCAAGCAGCAAAACTCCGAAAAAATGGAAATTATGCTGCAGCTCACACAACCAGTGAAGATGGACTATCCAAATGTCCATGTATCAAGGTAAGGTGAAGAATAGTAACGAAAACACTACCTAAGTTGTCCGAACAATTCAGAGATCAGTAGCTGATGATTAAGCTTTTTTCGTGTCTTCATCACACGAACAATGGCCGCATCGATTTGATATTGTCTATCTTGATTGACCTCCTCCTCGACTGCTTTATACTCCTCCTCCTAAAAAATGACACTGATCACACAGCAGAAAAATGCCGATTTCTCGTATGCAAGACCACAAGCAAAACCAAATACAGCACTACTAACGAACCGTTTCCTTCATTTGGACCTCAGAAATACGAATCCTGAAACGCACTTCCTTCAAATCTGTGTTGATTGTGAAGACATCATCATCTTTGATCTATAAATATCCATCTTAAACGTCATCCGCTCTTTTCGATAACACAACCTAATGCAATGTTCTTGTTACTTTGCAAAAGCAACGACTTCTTCATAGTTTCCGATCATTCAGCTGTAATATTTGCTTTTCGTTCCTTACATTTAGATCTCAGCACTACTTGTTCCACTTTCTTACTGCACTTATTTTGTCTTATGATTTCAGTTCTATACTCTCTTCAGTCGCGAATCCTCATTACGATAACTTTAAATTCCTTCCCTGAACACTAAATGCTACTCCTACGCCCACCTTTTTAATTTTACATACTACCGACTTTGTCATTTACGTTCTACTTTACCCAGTTCTTGATGCTCATCCATTTATTTTTCAAACCGACTTTGAAAGTTTAATAGAGTAAGCGGGAGCTTTTCATGTACCCTATACCAATAGGATTTTACTAGGAGACGGGCAGTACAACAGTAGTGACGCCGATCATCATCAGCATGGTGTTGGCTCGATTTTGCCCAAGGCTCCCCAGACCAATCATCTCTTCGGGCCCAGTAATTAGTACAAAACTTCTCCGGGAAAAGTTTACTCTCTGCAATCCAATTAGGAACGTTCCATTACGGCTATCTCAGGGCTCCAGGGAAAAATGCTCGACCAGCATTCTACGACATTAAAGATGAATAGAAAATCCTCAACCAGCAGCCGAAGTCATACGTAAAAGTTGGAAGACCTTAATGTAAGATGCGTCGAAGGAAACGTATCGAATGTGAGAAGTGCTGGGATCTGCAGAGTATATGTGAAGAAGAGTCATATGAAATTTTAAAAAAATTTCATACAAACCGCCCATGTGAAGCTGACCGTCGTGCCCACACACAACAACTTGGTTCCGAAGAAGGCGAAGTCGCCAAAATGTCAGTCATTGAACAACAACAACAACAACATCAAGTTATACGAACTTCGCATCAGCTCAACAAAAGTAGTTCCTAAGAACCGTTTAAAGTTTACAGCATATATTTACGGTAAGCATTCATTCTTTCGATAGATTTTATAGGAATTTCTTGAGAGCAAAAAACTACATCATTTTCCGCATTCTGGAAAACTTATCCGGAAAATATTTGTGAGAGTCATTGACCACGATATCAGAGAACCTTCCATTATAAAAAAAAAAGGTCGCCCGAAGAAGCACTGAAAGAACCATAAGCCAATTTTGTGGGAGTGAATGAGAAGTTGGTTTGAATTTAGAACCTATGAGAATAACATACAAGATACGGCGTTTACCTCTTTATTCGCTGGTGACTTCAGAAGAACACGAACTTTGGCGCATGACAAAGACACCATAGTACGAACCAGTTCTTTATGATCTGAAATATAAAATTCCTTCTTTCACTCTCTCTAACTCTAAAAAAAACCTTCTAGTCCTCTTTGGGACATATACGGAAAAGAACGTCTAACCCAGTTTTGTCGCCATCATGATGTCCGCGGCAGTCCACGATGTCTGATCGTTGAACAACAGAAGAACTATAGCTTGGAACAGTGACACTTTCAGCTCCTTGTAGCACTTTAAAAACAAAAAAAATGAGCCAATATTGACTAGAAATATTACACAATCGAGCATTCACTAATATACACTAATCATTTGAAAAACATACTCCTTTTCGGAAATTGGCTTTTAAAACACATTGTCCAAGACGTGGTTGCCACTGAAGTTTTCGTCCCGTATGCCTTGAGTCGTAAAACCTTTCATAAAGCTGGAGACATGAGCTCAACTGATGCGGCAATGAAACCTAAAATACTGGTGAAATCTTCAACTAACACCAAATAAAAGTAGAATCCTCCTCATGCATCTTAAAAAACATTTTCAAACACACTCATATCCATAATTATGCAAATAGTGAAAGATAACCACAACGATGCTGAGATATTTGCAAAACTACGTACAGCAGGTGTCTGCGGAGAGGATCGAGTGCGCAATTACCTTTCCGGGAGGTAAAGCTTTCACCACCACACCATGCGAGTATTTCGTTTAGCCTGTCTCTCAGCTAGTTTTCTATCTACCCGTGCCATCAGCAAAAAACGAAGGATACGAAGGAAGAATAAAGGAAGAAACGAAGGATCCGCATGGTGTGGTGGTAACGCGTGAGCCCTGGAAAGGGTAATAACGCGTTCGAGCTCCATCGCTGACATTTGCAGCTGGAGTTTTGCAAGTATCTCAGCATCGCCGTGGTTCACATGAAACCGGCCGTAAAAAACTGTAGTAGGCAGCAGATAAAACGTTAACATTATGCGAATAGTTTCCGTTTCTGTTGCAACGAACCTGTACATTGTCGTAAGCTGGCCACTGTCCCATTGTTAGCACGCTTACGTTGCACTCGACACACTCGTCTAAACGGCCTAACGAACTTTCGTGCTGTGTGTACTGAAAAGAATTCGAGTTCGAAGCTTAAAGAGTGCAATCCATGAGTGAAAAAGAACGACACACATTACGGAACGCTATCTCAAGATCCTTTGACAACTCCATGTCTCGAAACATACCCTCGAGTTTTTGAGTAAAACCAGCACCACATTCTGCAAATCAGTACAATTGTGTCAAATAAGACACCTTATGGAGTAAATGAAAAAAGACGAGGGGTTGATAAGATGGAGCCGAGCACAAAACAATTTCACACATATTTCACCTTGTCTCAATTTACTCAGCATGATTTTCTCGGCATCAACCGAAGCACTTCTGCCAAAGAGTAGACGTTTGGCCAAATCCTTCTTATAGAAGACCTCAAATACGTCTTTACCTAAAGGAAAACTGCAGTACTAAAAAACTTGTGTCGAGTAGAATAGAAGTAAAACTTAAGTGGCCCAAAATACACTCTAATGTAACACACCTTGGATAAAACGGAATAACGTAATAACTTTATTCATTAACTGATCCAGCTGTTCATCAGATGCTTCTTTGTTCGCACTACGTAATCTCGCGTCCATATACTTGGCTACAACATTCGATAATTAATAGAAGAATAAAGCGGTCCGCGTTCATCAAGCCGAGGAATGGGTCATGAATCTGAATAATCTAGCCTACACAATGACTTGCATGCTCTAGCGATCTATTAATTCAGTTCAGCCATCCTTCCAAACAAGTCTGCTAACAATTCGCTGACCCGAGAGGGATGAGTCTTAGTGATCCTTGGGTTCAGCATCAAATCGAGGAAAAAGTGTGTATTGCAGGGCTTCTTTAACTACTGAGTTACATACATCCCAACAAAATCTGATATAACTAAGCACCCTTACAAATATGTTCACAGGCTCACCAATCAATTCAGCAGGTTTGTTGCCTCGTGTGTTGATGAAATAATCAAAGGAATCCTTTTCAGCCTGAGCGAACTTCATTTTGTCTTCATTCGATCCAAAGCATGTCTCAACTGCACCACAGAAAAAGCAATACCATTTAATTTTACCTTTGCGTAACCAAACAGGAAATTTCTAGTGTTAGAAAGCTCAACACTGTAAAGATAATGTGAAGCAAACCAAAGACATCAAGCTTATCCTTGAAAGCCATTAGATCTTCTACCATAGTCTGATCTCGCTGAGAATCCGTAACCATAGCCTTGCCAACTTTCTGACAGCAACAATACATCACGACTTGAAAGAAACAGTCGACAAATGAGTGTGGTTAGCGTTTACCTTTATGTAAGAAGAAAAGCCTGTTTTAAGCAAAGGCACGCCTCCGTCAACCCGACTTAGCAGTGTGTACAGACGTGACACATCCTGTACTCGATTATCATTTAATAAAGTAGGAAGACCTGTAAGAAATATTAGCCAGTTATATCTGTCATACAAGAGCTTCGCACATAAAAAAGTTCGAAATTTTTCTACCGTTCTCTACAACTTCCTGCATGTGATCACTTATGAGACATTTCTCAACGCGAGTCAATAACGGCGACCGAGTGCTCTCGTCAAGATAGAGGTCGACACGTTCATTCTCCTCCTTAATTCGGCGTTCTATGTATAAGAGAAAGTCGACAGTCTAGAAAGTATAAATTCGTTTTCAAGCTTACATACCAGTGCGATAATAAATATTCAAGAAGTACATGATATAAATGCAAGGATTTTTTAGATTTAACAGCAAAACGTTTCCTAATAAACAATAGCCATACCTCGAGAGTGCGTACCAACGACTGGCCCTCTTGAGTGTAATAAACGCTAGTACAAGCAAGGAACTCTTCTTCGAAACACTAGAACAAAAAACGGACTCACTCAAGTACTATTTTTAGAATTTAAAATTTACCTGTTTGTATAAATCAAGGGTTCGCAGCATGCGAAAAAGGGCTCGAAGCAAAGATCGATCTATCTGAAAATTTAGGTCCAACTAATCTACCGATAGCATAAGGAGCATAAAAAGATAAAGCTCTCGGCGTTGATCAACCCCTGGAGGATGCGATAAGCATTCGACTTTATTAATCATCGTTTGAAGGTGATTGGATTCATATCTGGCCTTCGCAACGACTCGCAGTGGCTTACCGATGTATCGAGCAAGTGCTGTTATCCTCTCAAACAAGTCTGGCACCAATTCACCGACCCCAGAGGAATGGAAGGTTTGATGGGCCTGCAGCGCAGGGATCGATCACACGTGTAATGCAAGGTGTGCAAGGTGCCTCAGACCACTGCGTTACACGCGCCCTGATATTGGCAGAATATTCCTTTTAAAGAAATCAACAAAAAACAGCACGATGCGAAAGGGTGACATGAAAAGAAAGAATGGGCATGAAACCTAAAAACGTCGAAAGAAAAGAAGAAATATAGTAATAGAAGCAACCTGTGTATGTTTCTCTATCACTATGTCTGCTGACATACCTATAATACTGCAATACAAAAATATTCACCTGATCCCCGACTCGTTCTCGAGCAATACAGTCTAAAATACCGTTTACTAGCTTCTTCAAAACACAACTGTACAGGATTATTTCTTCTCGAAAAATCGCCAATGATGACTCCCTAAAGAAAAAGCTAGTGATGGTTGTAGTGATCAGAAAAGAAACAAAAGAACAAACCAGATCGGAGATTCGTCAATGTTCTCCAAAATAAATGTTCTGTCCAGATATAAAAACACATTTCGAATAAGAATCTAAAAGTAGTGGTTAAGTTCTGACATAACCTGGTCTTCGAAAAATGATTACCATCTGTTCACAGTAGTCGCTCCACAAGTTTTCCATAGCTTTCATAAATTCGACACCTCCAGATGCACTCTTTTCATTCAAATCACTCCTTAAAAACTACAATTATGAAGATACTATACAGTGAACCCTCCTAACAATTCACTGCCTCTCTGCGAGGTGTTCTTGGGTGTCGGGCTGCAATGTACAGCGAGGGGATTCATCCCTCTAGTAGGATCTTCCAAGGTGAGGAGTCTGGAGTTTCCATCAGGAAGCCTTGCTAAGAGTAAACCAATACTAAGATCCACCACCGCGCTGGTATCAAGCTAGTCGAATGTTGGCAAAAACCCTCTGATCCACAAGGGAAGCGACTCCCTGTGGTGGTGACAACCTGTGGCAGATTTTGGCTAGTTTGAATTCGAGACTCAAGGAAACCACAAAAGCTAAGCCAGCAAACGTCAGAAAAAAATGGAAGTTATGCTGAAGCCTGCACAACCAGTGAATACGAGCCATCCAAGTACCCAGGTATACATCAAACTGCAATGCAATGTTTTCCTACGTAACCACCCCAAGGAAACAATCTACTACCTACTTTTCTTCACCAGAAAGGAAATACGTGAAAATCCCACATTACCGCAAAGAAACTCATACCTAAAACCCCGAACCCATCGTCGTACATTATCAAGGAGTCTGTCATATGTAGATCTTGCCATTTTGTGCTCACAAAGAGACTCGACCACCTAAAAAGTCCGAACCATAACAAAAACCATAAATTTGTACCAAAATTCCTTTTGAAACAAGAGGAAATGCACTTCCACAGAAGCCTAACCTTATAGAGTTGCTCAAGATTAGTTGTAATATGTTGTTTCGTCTGGATAGCGTTTATACTCGCTTCCAAAGTAAGCCATCCAGAAGTCATTAAATCCGCAACATCATCATTTTTCTCTAAAAGTGAACTGTGCTGAAGGAAATCGAGCCACCGAAATCTCTAACTTACTGCGGAAATTCTTTATAGTTAATTTTTTCACAGTAGGTAACCCGCGCGTAATCTGTCTAATGGCCTTTGTGTCCACCTGGTAAATAGGATAGTGGTAAAAGCTGATAATGTTGAGTATATGATCAACGGAAAACAGAAAAATTCTCCACCAACCACATTTTCGATGATATCCTCGCAAGACTTTTCCTGAGCGAAATGGTCTTCAATGGGACCTTCGATGAGCTGCTCAAACATGTACTCTTCATGCTCGCCGTCTTCAAGTGCTTGTCGGAAAATTTCAGCTGAATCCTCATCACTCATCACCTCATCGCTCACGTCCGACATTTTAACTCGTTTCGATTGAAACTGAAAGAATAACGAAAACATACGCTTCCGTGAGATCACAAACGACAACAAATCTTAAGTTCTGAGTTGTACTGTGCCTTTAAAAAAATAGCTCTTGGGTTGATCAATTCGTTAGGGATGCGCCATGCATTCGACTTCATTAATTATCGTTGGAGGTGACTGAGTACATATTTGGGCTTTACGATGACTCGCAGTGACCTACCGATGTATCGAGCCAGTGCTGCTATCCTCCCAAAGGGATCTGGTACTAATTTGCCAACCTCGTGGAGATGAAAGGCTTGGTGAGCCTCGGGCGCGGGGATCGATCCTATGCGTATTGCAGGGCGCCCCCGACCACTGCGCTACGTGTTTACTACGTTTTAAGTACTAAAACACTCTAACTGTACTAATGCACATCACTGAGACACTTTCGATTCGCTATCAGGCAATGTTAGGAAAGGAATTTCTCTCAACTCATTAGCAAATTGGCATGACTTCTTCGAAATGAAATGAGTTTCTCCTTTCTCAACAGATGGATATTTACTTTGGCACTTGAATGTTCCGTCTTTATTCGTTGTGTAGGCACCAGCATAGCTTTCACTTTTTCGGAGTTCTGGTGGTTTAGCTATTGTGGACCTTGGAGTCCCAAAATCAGCCTAGCCGATTTATGTCCCCTCATCAGCTGATACACAAAATTTACTGCAGGGTTCACAGGTGCACTCAATGCAGTGGTGAATATCTCAGCCAAACACCCAAACGGCAACGCAAGTGTTTGAGGCTTACAATGGCCTAGGTGTAGTTCGCCTCATTTGGACTTCAGATCGAAAACTATCAGTTATCCATACTTGTAGCGGTCACTATTCACCACTTCACATGATTTCCACAGAAAACATAACATAAAAACATACGGGTACGTTTTGTAATGGCGGAAAAACCGATAGCGATCTCTTCTGTGCGCCTGTTTGTAGAATAAACGTCGTTTTTGCAGTAACGGGATCCGTTGACGATGAATTCGACTTCACTTCAACGCCAGCTTCACCCTTGTTTGTTGATTGCATCCAAAAGCACTCTACGAACGCCTTAAACTAACTTCACACCGCAAGCATTCAATCAAAAATATAGAAAAGAACAACATCTGGGTCACGTTAACCTAGAGAGCAGATCGAAATTAACTAAAGAGATAAGCCGTAAACGGATATTTTAAAAATAAGTACGCAATTGCGTACGGCTCAATTTATTGGTCGCGCAAAGTTTGGAAATCGTTCAGATGTTTCGTTCTCAATGATGAGGCAGTTCATTCAGGAGCTTCTGAGTTACATGTTTGTTTGAGTTTTATCCATACAAGATGATTTTAACGCATAACACCCGAAGTCGGTTTTTCAGGAACAGACGACAACTTCCGGATTAAGTTTGAAGGCTCAAGAATGTCTGAATTTCACCATGGTATAGTAAGAGGACTGATACTTCTCAGACGAAGATCTGTGAACTCTAATGTTTTTTACTTTAATCAGTGAAGCTCAGCACAAGCTGAAGTGTTTTAGTTTAAAATTGAAGGCAACCATTATTTGGAGTTAAGTGCATTTTATTCAGTTGCTTATTTAAAAGTGTTGGGTAAGTGATTCAGATAATAATCGATTGGAATATGACCACAGTGATGTTAAGATATTTGCAAAACTCCGTACTGCACTTGTCTGCGCTGTAGATCGAACACGCTATTACCCTTTCCTGGGGCTAACGCGTTCACCACCACACCATGCGGGTCATTCCTTTCGCTTTTCTCTCAGCTAGTTTCCTACACAACAGTGCCATCAGCAGTCACTCGTGAATGGGATTGACCTGGGGCGCACAAATCGAACCGAGCGAAAGAACTGTATGATGTGGTGGTGAACGCGTTAGCCCGCGGAAGGGATAGTAGGGTGTTCGATCCCTACCGCAGAAACCTACGGTCCGGAGTTTTGCAAATATCTCAGCATCATTACGGTTGCATTTCACATAGTAGCCTGCCGTTAGATATTGTAGTAGGCAGTAAATAAAAAGTTAATATATGGGAATATAGTTATTGAATTGGAGCTTGTCCAAGACTACAACACAAGACTACTAGCATATCAATGTCGAAGATTCTAAAATTTTGAGAAAAAAGAAAGCGGTCAATGAGGTTGATGATGGTGATGATGACAAAGATGATGAGTCAATTATCTCTCTTAAATGTATAACTTTTTATTTGCTACCCAATATTCTTTTCATGGTAGCGTGTTGTGTGAAATACAACCACAACGATGTTGAGATATTTTCAAAACTCAGACCCCAAACCAGATCGGAACCCGTGATTCCTCTTTCCGGGGCTCACATCTTACCCATTGCACCACTGACGCCTTTGCTTTACCTTTGTCTCAGCCAGTTCTTTACCCTAACGGTGCTATCAGC